CAATAACTAAAAAATTATGCAGGGTAGAGTTATCATTCTTGTGCACTGCACTCCTCCTAAATGAGATCCATCCACCTATGAAGTTTCAAGTCAATACCTCAAATACTTTTTGAGATAAGCTCCGGACAAAATCACATGAAAAATGACAAAGGGCAATAACTCAAATATTGTATAGGGAAGAGTTATCATTCTTGCGAACAGCATTCCTCCTCAATAAGATCTATTCACCTATGACATTTCATGTTGATATCTCAAACACTTTTTGAGTAATGCTCCACTCAGGTGAAAAATTCAGTATGAAAAATAACAAAGGGCAATAACTCAAAAATTATGAAAGGTAGAGTTATCATTCTTATGCACTGCACACCTCCTGAGTGAGATCTATGCACCTATGAAGTTTCATATTGATATCTCAAAGGCTTTTTGAGTTATGCTCTGGACAAAAATTAATTTTGAAAAATAACAAAGGGCAATAACTCAAAAATTATGCAGGGTAGTTATCATTCTTGTGTACTGCACTCCTCCTCAATGAGATCCATCCACCTATGAAGTTTCAAGTTGATATCTCAAATACTTTTTGAGATAAGCTCTGGACAAAATAGCATGAAAAAGAACAAAGGGCAATAACTCAAAAATTGTATAGGGAAGAGTTATCATTCTTGCGCACAACATTCCTCCTCAATAAGATCTATCCACCTGAGACATTTCATGTTGATATCTCAAACACTTTTTGAGTTATGCTTCACTCAGTTGAGAAATTAAGTAAGAAAAATAACAAAGGGCAATAACTCAAAAATTATGAAAGGTAGAATTATCATTCTTGTGCACTGCACACCTCCTGAGTGAGATCTATGCACCTGTGAAGTTTCATGTTGATATCTCCTAGGCTTTTGGAGTTATGCTCTGGACAAAAATCAATTTTGAAAAATAACAAAGGGCAATAACTCAAAAATTATGCAGGGTAGAGTTATCATTCTTGTGCACTGCACTCCTCCTCAATGAGGTCTATCCACCTATGAAGTTTCAAGTTGATAACTCAAATACTTTTAGAGATATGCTCCGGACAAAAATGTCGGACGGAAGGACGGAGACTATTTCTATATCCCCCGCCGCCTTTTCGGCGGGGGATAACAAAATATGGACAGAACAACAACACCTATAAAGATGAATACTGAAAGTAAGGTTTCTTCATGATCATTAAGTTTTTCATCAACCCCTGTAAAGATGAGACTCTCCAATAGCATTTCTAGCTTCTGTCCAGTCAGATACCAACTCAAGAGAGAAGAAGCTGTCAAATGTGGAAAGTCTCAAAATAAACATTGAGAGTTTCACAGAGTAGCTGGACACATAGTTGCCTGCTACACTCTATTCTGTTGGAAACATTAGAAGGGACGGTGAAGGCAGTAATGAACTTTAATGATGTTGCAGAGAATTCTTTAAAAGAGACAATGATGGAGACTGCTGATGAAAATCAAAAACTTTACAACAACTGTTACATCATGCTTGTAACTTGTCAATGGAGAGGTGCACCCTACAACTAAGTTAATAATCTACAGCTTCAACTTGATGACAAGGTGAGGAAGGAGCAGATGGCAGATCCAACAATGTTGGATGAACCATTTATTGTATCTAATAGTTCAAAGAATGAGCAGGCACTTGATAGTAGTGAGCTTTGTGTTGCAGACTCCAGCAGATATTTGATTCTCCTTTACATTTTGGTGGCATATCAGTGATTGCATTACCAGCTAAGACCTGTATGTCACTCCTGGATCTTCGAAAATAGTGATCATCAGTACAGGGCTCCAGATAAGATGCGTATACGCGTAAATTACGCATGGAAATAACACGTTTACGCATTCAAAACAAAATTTAAGCGTATGAAAACGCACATAAAAATCAGGTTACGCACTGAACAACATTTCTTTCGCGTAAACGTAACCGAAAGTAAACTCTGATTATTTTATTTTTAATTTCGTCTGAACGCTTTGCAAGCGTCTACCGGTAACTTCCTGTAGTTCCGACCATCATCGGTTGTTTTCGTAAGTATAGTATGGTGGTGGAATTAACTTCGTATAAATGCCTTGCAACGTCTAACGGTTACTTCCTGTAGTTCCGACTATCATCGGTTGTTATCGTATGTATAGTAAGGTGGTGGAATTAACGCAATTTTATAAAAACATCCGGTACAATGTCGCTGTCAAAAGTAAACACGATTGACTCGTATTTTCAGCCGAAAAAAATCGACCCGAAAGTAATTGTTAAGTTTATAATCAATGAAATAATTAGCGCTGCCACGTATGAGCAACAGAAACATGTGTCAGCCTCAGATAAAACGTACGCCGTTTGGAAAGACCTGTTCCCGTGGATTGTCATAAATTCAGAAGACCCGTCACAGGTTAAGCTTAAATGTTCATTATGTATAAAATTTCAAATGAAAAATGCATTTACTACAAACTGGTTCTAGCAATATTCAAAAATCAACCGTTGAGCGACACTGCGAATCTGCGGACCACCAGACTGCTACTAAAATGTCATTGAAATTAGAAAGTTCTAAAAAAGATCCTACGCTATTAGATCAAGATTCAGAAGAGATAAAAAACTGTAAATTGTTGGATTCAGACATTTTTTTGATAAGATCGGTTTACTCTCTCATGAAAAATGAATTACCATTTGAAAAACTTGATGCAATTTTGGAACTTCAACGGTTAAATTCATTAAATATGCCATACAGAAATTTAAGCTGGACTACTATTACAGAAATTCAAAATGTAATTGCTGCTGGTTTAAAGAAAAAACTTGTTGATAAGATCAATCAGTCTGATTATTTTGCAATCTTAATAGATTGAAAGTACTGATATCACTGTTTCCAAGAGACTTTCAATTTGTGTGAGATATGTAGTCCATGGTAGTGCATATACATCTTTTCTTGGTAACTGCGAATTACCAGATGGTAAAGCTCATACTATAACTTTAGCTTTAAGTAATTATTTAAAGGAATGTTGATGTTAACTTTTCAAAATGTGTTTCACTTGCAACAGATGGTGCAAGTGTCATGATGGGTAAAAAAAACTGGTGTTTTGGGGTACAGGTTCAAGCTAAATTTGCCCCATTTGTAATACAAACTCATTGTATAGCACACAGATTAAATTTGGCAGTAACTGACTCTATTAAACAAATTGAACCACTAAAGAAACTGAAAGAAAAATTTGCAAACCTTTACCATTTCATATCTGCATCAGGAAATAGGACATTTTGCCTTAAAACAAATGCAGGGGTTGTTAGACGAGCCTAAGCTGTCTGTTAAAGAACCATATTCCATTCGTTGGCTGGGTCTTAAAAATGCTGTTGAAGCCGTCTATGAATCATATGGAGCCATACTTGCAACATTGTCTAGCATGGCCGATGAAAATTCTACAGCTAAAGGTTTTATACAAGTACTTTGCTTCATATAAAAACGGCATTACTTTTAGCTTTCATGTTGGACGTTCATACCATCCTGGGTGTCCTATGTTGTGAACTGCAGGCAAAGAACCTTATTTTTAGTGATGTTCCTCCCCTAATAGACAGTACTGTGGAGAAGATTGAGTCAATGAAATCAGAAGAGGGTAATGGATTAGTAGAGATGAAAAACAGCATTGTTGTGAAAGATGAAAAGGCCTTTTATAAAGGAGATGAGCTTAAATATTATAGCAAAGATATAGAATCACAGTTTTCAAATGTTAAAAATAATTATTTGGATAACTTGGCCAAAAATATTAAAAGAAGACTAAAAAAGAATGATAGTGACACTTTAATATACTTGAGTCAAGTCTTAGAACCATCAACAGTATGTCATCTTCCTGCTGATACCAGTAAAAGTGCTCTAGAATGTTTGGGAAATCAGTTTGGAGTTGAAAAAAACAGTGAAACAAATGGAAGGAGATCTGATTATAGGTATTTCAAATTGACATTTAACTGATGTAAACTTTTTCTTATTTAAAACAATAAAAACTTAACTGATATAAACATGTTTACTTGCAAAACAACATTGTCCAAAAAAATTAAACACAAAGTTGATGAATTTATTTTTTAAAGAATCTGATATCTAGGACTTGCAAAATATATTATAATGTCACTATATTGCTTCCTGATTTATTTAAATAATAACATATTGCATTCTATATTACAGGGACAACAGAGACTGTCACCCATGTTGAGCCATTATTAGACAAAACAAAACTTGAGAAGGAGTGGAAAGGGGTTTATGGGATGGTAAAAGGCACATATAGGAACATTTCCCTCAGTGACCTGTGCAAAGATTATGTGTGAAGCACAGTCTGACATATCCAAACATGGCTAAGTTAGCTAAAATAGCCTTATGCATGGAGATTTCAAGCACAGAGTGTGAGCGCTCATTCAGCACTCAAACAGACTTAAGAGTAAATTAAGGTGGGACATTTATATTAAAGTCTATCTATCTTTATATTTTGAAATTTATGCAGGTGGATCTACTCTAGTATATAATTTTGTTAGTAAAACTAAGAAAAGTTTATAAGTAAATATTCTAATTATTTTTAATGCAAATGTACATGATTTTATGCATTCTTGAAATTGTTCTTGGAAGTATATATGTTGTTGTTTATCTCATGGCAGGTCATCACTCAAAGAGATTTCACTTGAATCACTGCTGAGGGTTAGCCTTTATGGAGAGCCAGTCTCAGAGTATGACCCTGTACCAGACACAAGACAGTGGTTGGTCAAGAATCGCAGAAGGAAGCGTCTGATGCAAGATTATAAACCAAGAGAGTCCAAAAAGCAAAAGAAATGACTGACATATCTTGTATTACAACTATGATAATGCAGTAAACATGGAAGCATAATAAATGTTTTACTCTTTTCCATACATTGTAAGGAGTAAAAATACTCCTGCCAAATTTCAGATTTCAAGTTTTACTCATTCACAAAAAAATCAATGAGTAAATACTCATTGCCCTAAAAAATTATCTGGAGCCCTGTCAGTATGGTCCAATAATTATTAACCTGTGGCAAGATCTTGTTGAAATATATGATTTAAGAACAATAATGAGACAAAAGGATAATGCCTTGTTTGCCACGAGTTTAAACCTGATAAGGGAAGGCAAACAAATAAAGCAAGACATGGACATGTTAATAGCAAAACTGAATGAAAATGAGAATAGGAGTGAACACATTCACTTGTTCAGCTCTAATGCTCTTGTAGATGATCACAACATAATAAAAACTGGAAAAAGTTCCACATCTGTAGCTCTTGATTATGCTGTAGGAAATTTTCCAGCAAGTAGCAAAATGGCTGTGCTGTCAATTGCTAGAGATCTCGAACCTCAGAATTCAAGAATAAACCCCGTGTTTCTATAAAACATGGTGAGATGCATTAACACTGGGTACAACGCTTTATAATTTTAACATAATTTAAATAGATTTTTTTTTGAAAAAAACATTTTACTGGAAACATGCTTTACATACAGTTGACACATGTCAACAGCAAAATTCACCCCTTCGTGAAAACATCGGATCTGTAACTACATCTATCTACATTTGCCGTGTCTGGATATCATTATAATACAGAAAATCTGGCATTTTCTTTTTGATATTTTTCCTATAAAGATCGTTTTTGCTTGCTTGCCAAAATGTTGCAAAGTCACGTCTTTAAACTTAAGTTAGAAAGTGACTCAAATAGCCAAAAGGTGATGGAGAAATGTAGAGCAGAAGGAATTGATTATGAGGTAAAAAGTTTTTATAATTTTATTTGATTGATTTTCGGCCATTTCATAATTTCGTTTATTTGGAATGATGAATGCCATATGATGATTTAATCTTTATAATTCCATACAATTATTTTTGCAATATCATACAGTACAGTATTAATTATTTCAATCATCACTGTTCTTAAATAATAATAGATTAAACAAAAAGTTCCTTTTGAAAAGGTTTATAGGGTGACATACTGTTTCTAACCTCAAAAATAACTTTATTTGCATACTTTGCTTGACTCATGTTTTTTTATTGACTGATAAAGGACAGTGCTTTCCAATTTAAGACAATCAGAATCATTTAATTGACCATGAATATGCTCTATATCATTGCAAACAAGATTTCATTCCTGTGTGATCAAGGAATGGTGTATTTGGTTAAACTAGATAATCAGGTGCTGGTTTTGCTAGGTCGTACATTGAACATTGGATATAAAATTGAAAACTGTTCTGGTCTTTCCACAGAATCGTCTAGTGAAAAAGTAATATGTGAAGTTGATGATGATGAGGAGGATCAGGATCCAACGTATGTTCCTGATGAAAATGATTCTATATCTGACTCAGAATCAGAACCAGATTCTGCCAGTGATATATATCCAGTGCTTACTGAAGATGCTTCAGGTAAATTTAGAAACAGTATATATTATCCTGTAACATGATAGCTTGCAGAATCACGTCTGTTTCAACTGGTCTGTTGGTAATCTTTTTAGCTCATCTGTCACGCAGTGACAAGGTGAGCTTTTGTGACCTCATGTTGTCTGTCGTGTGTCCGTGCGTGTGTCCTTGCGTCAACAATTTCTTTATACAACATCTCCCCCTAAACCAATTGGTGGATTTTGATCAAAATTCACAGGAATGACCCTTGGGTGAAGCTCTACCAAATTTGTTTAAATCATGACCCCCCCCCCCTCCCTCAGTCAAATTGGCCCCGCCCTGGGGCTTTAAAAAAGTGAAATCTTCTCTAGAACCACAAGGCATAGAGCTTAGATATTTTGCATGTAGCATTGTCTAGTGGACTGCTGCCAAAGTTGTTCAAACCTTGACCCCCCCCACTGACCTTGACTTAGTGACCTACTTTTCATAATATGAGCTACAGTCTTGAAATTTAGACCACATGTGCACTTTTTCATGCAGAATTGCCTACTTTCTTAGTTGAGCTACAGCCTTAGATGGTGCAGGTGAGCGATTTAGGGCCATTATGGCCCTCTTGTTAAAAGACATGTCAAGTTTGATAATGGTTATCATAAATCCAATTTTGACAGAGATATGTGCCCTTGAATTTAAAAGATTGTATTGAGTAACATGCATTTTGAAGGAAAGTTGGTGTTTGCATCGAGGTTTTAGAAAAAAATAAGTTTTTTAATTTCATTCATGCATTTAGCTGGGATATCTGTGTCCTATTGACAAATTTCTAGACATATCACGCTTTTTTTTATCACAAAATGAACAGGCCCAGGCCCCTTCACAATTTTGACGAAAAATGCCTTGAGATGAAAAGACAAGTCATAGATTTTTACATACATATAAGTAACTATAGGCGACAAAAATAAAATATTCATGTAATTTACATTTAATGCATTGCGATATATTCAATAATGAATTTGAAACTTAATTTGAAATCTCAGTTTATCGCAATGCATATCACATTACAATATAAAATATTGCAATATGTATTATCTCTGAAATTAAATTGCAATAAGTATCTGGATATGTATCGTTATCAAAATCAAATATCGTGATACATATCTTGGATGAAAAAATGCAAGTGCACAGCCCTACCAATAACTGAATTCTGTCTTTAGTGACAGGGTGCAAATATATGGACCCAATAACTGAGTATTGTCTCTGGCCACAGGGTGCAAATATATGGACCCAATAACTGGGTCCTAGGGTCTTCCTAGATGATGAAAGTTGGAAGTTGCCTTGGATAGCAGCTACATGTATATAGTATATTCTTGGATCATAAATATTAAAGAATAATTTAATTGACCATGAATATGCTCTATATCATTGCAAACAAGATTTCATTCCTGTGTGATCAAGGAATGGTGTATTTGGTTAAACTAGATAATCAGGTGCTGGTTTTGCTAGGTCGTACATTGAACATTTGATATAAAATTGAAAACTGTTCTGGTCTTTCCACAGAATCGTCTAGTGAAAAAGTAATATGTGAAGTTGATGATGATGAGGAGGATCAGGATCCAACGTATGTTCCTGATGAAAATGATTCTATATCTGACTCAGATTCTGCCAGTGATATATATCCAGTGCTTACTGAAGATGCTTCAGGTAAATTTAGAAACAGTATATATTATCCTGTAACATGATAGCTTGCAGAATCACGTCTGTTTCAACTGGTCTGTTGGTAATCTTTTTAGCTCATCTGTCACGCAGTGACAAGGTGAGCTTTTGTGACCTCATGTTGTCTGTCGTGTGTCCGTGCGTGTGTCCTTGCGTCAACAATTTCTTTATACAACATCTCCCCCTAAACCAATTGGTGGATTTTGATCAAACTTCACAGGAATGACCCTTGGGTGAAGCTCTACCAAATTTGTTCAAATCATGACCCCCCCCCTCAGTCAAATTGGCCCCGCCCTGGGGCTTTAAAAAAGTGAAATCTTCTCTAGAACCACAAGGCATAGAGCTTAGATATTTTGCATGTAGCATTGTCTAGTGGACTGCTGCCAAAGTTGTTCAAACCTTGACCCCCCCACTGACCTTGACTTAGTGACCTACTTTTCATAATATGAGCTACAGTCTTGAAATTTAGACCACATGTGCACTTTTTCATGCAGAATTGCCTACTTTCTTAGTTGAGCTACAGTCTTAGATGGTGCAGGTGAGCGATTTAGGGCCATTATGGCCCTCTTGTTAAAAGACATGTCAAGTTTGATAATGGTTATCATAAATCCAATTTTGACAGAGATATGTGCCCTTGAATTTAAAAGATTGTATAGAGTAACATGCATTTTGAAGGAAAGTCGGTGTTTGCATTGAGGTTTTAGAAAAAAATAAGTTTTTTAATTTCATTCATGCATTTAGCTGGGATATCTGTGTCCTATTGACAAATTTCTAGACATATCACGCTTTTTTTTATCACAAAATGAACAGGCCCAGGCCCCTTCACAATTTTGACGAAAAATGCCTTGAGATGAAAAGACAAGTCATAGATTTTTACATACATATAAGTAACTATAGGCGACAAAAATAAAATATTCATGTAATTTACATTTAATGCATTGCGATATATTCAATAATGAATTTGAAACTTAATTTGAAATCTCAGTTTATCGCAATGCGTATCACATTACAATATGAAATATTGCAATATGTATTGTCTCTGACATTAAATTGCAATAAGTATCTGGATATGTATCGTTATCAAAATCAAATATCGTGATATGTATCTTGGATGAAAAAATGCAAGTGCACAGCCCTACCAATAACTGAATTCTGTCTAGTGACAGGGTGCAAATATATGGACCCAATAACTGAGTATTGTCTCTGGCCACAGGGTGCAAATATATGGACCCAATAACTGGGTCCTAGGGTCTTCCTAGATGATGAAAGTTGGAAGTTGCCTTGGATAGCAGCTACATGTATATAGTATATTCTTGGATCATAAATATTAAAGAATAATTTAATTGACCATGAATATGCTCTATATCATTGCAAACAAGATTTCATTCCTGTGTGATCAAGGAATGGTGTATTTGGTTAAACTAGATAATCAGGTGCTGGTTTTGCTAGGTCGTACATTGAACATTTGATATAAAATTGAAAACTGTTCTGGTCTTTCCACAGAATCGTCTAGTGAAAAAGTAATATGTGAAGTTGATGATGATGAGGAGGATCAGGATCCAACGTATGTTCCTGATGAAAATGATTCTATATCTGACTCAGAACCAGATTCTGCCAGTGATATATATCCAGTGCTTACTGAAGATGCTTCAGGTAAATTTAGAAACAGTATATATTATCCTGTAACATGATAGCTTGCAGAATCACGTCTGTTTCAACTGGTCTGTTGGTAATCTTTTTAGCTCATCTGTCACGCAGTGACAAGGTGAGCTTTTGTGACCTCATGTTGTCTGTCGTGTGTCCGTGCGTGTGTCCTTGCGTCAACAATTTCTTTATACAACATCTCCCCCTAAACCAATTGGTGGATTTTGATCAAACTTCACAGGAATGACCCTTGGGTGAAGCTCTACCAAATTTGTTTAAATCATGACCCCCCCCCTCCCTCAGTCAAATTGGCCCCGCCCTGGGGCTTTAAAAAAGTGAAATCTTCTCTGTCCTATTGACAAATTTCTAGACATATCACGCTTTTTTTAACACAAAATGAACAGGCCCAGGCCCCTTCACAATTTTGACGTAAAAAGCCTTGAGATGAAAAGACAAGTCATAGATTTTTACATACATATAAGTAACTATAGGCGACAAAAATAAAATATTCATGTAATTTACATTTAATGCATTGCGATATATTCAATAATGAATTTGAAACTTAATTTGAAATCTCAGTTTATCGCAATGCGTATCACATTACAATATGAAATATTGCAATATGCATTGTCTCTGAAATTAAATTGCAATAAGTATCTGGATATGTATCGTTATCAAAATCAAATATCGTGATACATATCTTGGATGAAAAAATGCAAGTGCACAGCCCTACCAATAACTGAATTCTGTCTTTAGTGACAGGGTGCAAATATATGGACCCAATAACTGAGTATTGTCTCTGGCCACAGGGTGCAAATATATGGACCCAATAACTGGGTCCTAGGGTCTTCCTAGATGATGAAAGTTGGAAGTTGCCTTGGATAGCAGCTACATGTATATAGTATATAGTATATTCTTGGATCATAAATATTAAAGAATAATTTAATTGACCATGAATATGCTCTATATCATTGCAAACAAGATTTCATTCCTGTGTGATCAAGGAATGGTGTATTTGGTTAAACTAGATAATCAGGTGCTGGTTTTGCTAGGTCATACATTGAACATTGGATATAAAATTGAAAACTGTTCTGGTCTTTCCACAGAATCGTCTAGTGAAAAAGTAATATGTGAAGTTGATGATGATGAGGAGGATCAGGATCCAACGTATGTTCCTGATGAAAATGATTCTTTATCTGACTCAGAATCAGAACCAGATTCTGCCAGTGATATATATCCAGTGCTTACTGAAGATGCTTCAGGTAAATTTAGAAACAGTATATATTATCCTGTAACATGATAGCTTGCAGAATCATGTCTGTTTCAACTGGTCTGTTGGTAATCTTTTTAGCTCATCTGTCACGTAGTGACAAGGTGAGCTTTTGTGACCTCATGTTGTCTGTCCTGTGTCCGTGCGTGTGTCATTGCGTCAACAATTTCTTTATACAACATCTCCCCCTAAACCAATTGGTGGATTTTGATCAAACTTCACAGGAATGACCCTTGGGGAAGCTCTACCAAATTTGTTCAAATCATGACACCCCCCCCCCAAGTCAAATTGGCCCAGCCCTGGTGCTAATAATTTTTAAACAAGAGGGCCATGATGGCCCTGAGGTCGCTCACCTGTATATAGCCCCCCCCCCCCCCCACCACACTCATAAGAAGATGTTTCATGCTAAACATCTAAGCTCTAGCTCATTGGGCTTTTTAAAAGAAGATTTTTTAAAGTTTTTACTATACTATTTACTATACCATGTTTGTTTTATTTATTTATTTATTGTTAATAATTACAGCGCTGATTCATAATGCTGTAATGTCATGTTTACATAACTTTATATAGAAATATTACCAGGAAAATACTGTGTTTACACCTGCAATTTTATGTGTGACTAAATCATATTTGTCCAACTTAATTAAATTGTAATTGTTTATATCGAGAATTTCTCGGTACGATTTTGAGGTCACCAAAGTTTGCACCTTTGAACAGTAAAAAATACGAAATGTCATTATTATCTATCGGTGTAAATTATAAGAGAATTACCTTAATCACTTGTTTGCATAACTGATTTATTTATATTCTGTGTAATTAAAACATGTAATATCTTTAAATTTGCTGTCCATTGTCCTGCATCGCACATTGCATGTTTTAGCGGAGTAGTTCACGCATGTGCTATAAGACTCCTCCACTTGACCTCATTTGACATGTAAACAGTTTATTTTTAGAATGAAATTATTATTTGTTTTACGTCCTGTTATCTGGCAAGTTTTGTGGGTAAAATTGTTCCCAATGGTTGTAAATGAAATAATTATGCATAGTTTTTATTCGGTAAAATCGGTGAGTAAATTTTTCTGGCGTCTCCTCCTGAATTCCTCAAGAAACTGAGGATTCGTGAGTTTTCGTGAGGAAACGCCCCTATAATACGGAGGTTTCAGCGTTTCCTGACTCCACTCCGTGACCAGTAGTCAGTTGGTGTAGATCAATTCCTTTGCTGAAACCAGACTTTGATATTGCTTGGTAAATTATTCTATATACCTATTCATTGTGAAGATTTTGTTGATTAATAGCCTATTTAGAGCAGTTTTGTCCTTTTTTATCCTTATTATCTGGGGACGGCCTCATCGATCACCCTCCAGGCTTGCCAGAAATCCATTTGAAGCCAGATATATGCTCTGCACTTAGTCACATATTTTATCATTTATAGGAATAGTTTATTTGTTGACAAAATATTTAATGTTTGCTATTTTTTTTTTGTAGAAATGTCAATATGTCACAGTATCCCTGCCAAGAATGTGGTATCACCAGGCACAATTAGATTGCCACTTTGCACGGGCCAAAGGTACATTGTACTGAGTGTGGTCAAACGTTCCCCCCAAAAAAGGACAGATAATCAGAGAAGAGATTTAAGTAGAGCTCATGGAATAGACTCTGGGTCAAGAGCCTATAAAAATCTTATTCCAGTTGGTCGTTACTTTTGACCAGTTTTTGAAGTTTGTCCAACACCGAAACCGGAAGGAATGAAATCTGCTGTTACTAAGGTGTTTAAGCCAAAACCTGTAATGGAAATTCTGTATGTTCCAATGCCCTCAACATCTTTCAAGAAAAAAATCATCTACAATATTGACAATGCCTATACAAATATATATAAACTTTATGGGGTGTCTATAAAACGCCCCACAACTTTTTTATACTTTGATCATGTGTTTAATCTATTGTAATCTGGTTTGGATAACAAATGTATTTTAGATTAATTAATAGTACATGTTTTCTTTTGTTTACCCTAGATGACAGACACTCGTCAAATGTTAAAATTTTGGCACAGGTAGAAACGCTACCCAGTGATACAGATTGTGAAAGAGATTTGGGTATGAAGTTATGTTGCTTTACACAGCAGGTTAAGCATAATGTACGTGTGCAAATAAATCTATATTATTTTTATGGCTAATTAATTCATATTTTAGTGTAAATATATATATTATTTGGGGTTGGTGTTTAAACAACTGCACATAAGATTTCATTATTGTAAACGATCAATACAGAATACGAGTGAATTGCAACTTGTATTTTCCAAAATTTACAGTGTCTATGTTTAAATTACACATAATTCTAATGTGTTTACCAGATGGATGCCATACGCCTAATGCTGACCTAATGGATGGGACTTGTACAATTTCTGTCGATACAAATGGTGGACTTGTTAATGGGAATGGCGACTAAGGTAAGTAGGCATTTTGCTATTCATTTTAGGTAAAATCAGTCATACGATTGATAAAAATATAATTTTCACACATATAAAAACTGATGTCTAATCTGAGCTTACCATATAGCAACATTATATATAAACTTTATGGGGTGTCTATAAAAAACGCCCCACAACTTTTTTATACTTTGGTCAGGTGTTTACATATTAGACGTCCATGCAGAACAAACATCTATTGTAATCTGGCATGGATAACAAATGTATTTTAGATTAATTAATAGTGCATGTTTTCTTTTGTTTTCATATTTTCATGAGAAATGGAACTGATAGGTGGGCAGTCTGTCACAACTATGACAAAGCCAATACATTTTAAATTACGTTAATTATTACAAATTTTAATCACAACATATAATATAACATGTTCCAATTAAAATATTCTATCTTTCAGACCATCGAAAGGGGAACTGGGGAATTAATAGTGGCAAAAAGACCCAACGCGTTAAACAAACAGAAATACGAGTCCTACAAATTCTGGCCATGTGAATTTTGTTTGGGATTTTATTTTGAAGACTCGCTATGATTACACCAACAGTCTTGCAAATAAAAATCAAAACAAACTCAGCCGTCAACTAATTGCGTATGTGACGCACGAACAATGATTGCTCCTTTCATTCAAGATATATCACATGAGGATGCCAAGATAGAACAAATGTTTGATGGTATGAAGGAAACGAGTGCTAACCCTGGCATTCCAAATTTAATGTGAATATTTGTTGTTGTAATAACTCTTAAAATCATTTATTATAAATTTAAGGAAAGCTAATTTCCTGAGTGGTGTGACACAGAAAAGAGAGTCTGGCCACACAAGTCATTATTATGCCGACTTGGGGACGAAAGAGAACAACGACTAAAAGATGTTGACAATGTACGTTCTAAAGTACGCACTGTCGGGCTGCTGCTTCAAAAGTTGAACTCAACAAATGGGCAGAAGTCCATGGCTAAACACATTTCGCCTCAGAATTTCTTTCATGTTGTAGCGGCTACAAAATCGCTGTGTTTGAAAACCCAATCACCCCAAAACGCCCTTGTTTTGGGGCATTATCTTCAACAAGTTGCCTTATTAAAAAACAGCCTTGGTATAGTAGAAGGATAGATGAGTGCACAAACAGAATTACAAAACTTCCAGACACTATGTCAGACGCACTGCAACACTTGGCTTTCCAGTGTTGCCAAATGCTGGCAAAGGCTGAAACAACTGAAAAAGGCGCCTAAATTGCCTTTAACAGAAGACTTGTTGATACTCTTGTCTTTTCTAAAAATGAACTTAAAAAGAAAATTGACAAACAAAGCCCAAATGATACTGCTTGGAAAAAGATTGCCCAACTAACTCTGGTAAGAATCTTGCTGTTCAACAAAAGGAGAATTTCTGAGGTACAGGAATTAAAGATTATTGATTATCTCAAAGCAGAAAAGAATGATGAGCCAGACGACAACATTCTGAACTCACTAGAGATGTCCGACAGAATTCTGTCACAATGGTATGTTCACAGTATTACAAATTACAATTGTAACAAATGTTGCACGTAAGACAATAAGCTATACATATCATGTAAACAAGCTTCAATTTTGTTCTGATTCTTTGGGTGTTTCAAGTTATGTTTATGTGTTTGGTTGCCATAAACAAAATACCAGTTTTATTTTAGAATGAAGGTTGTAAGAAGTAAAAGGGAAGTCTGAGAAGAGTGTTTGTGATTCTTGCTCCAGACATGATTGATGCTTTGGAATACCTGATGAGAACAAGGTGTAGCAACAGTCTGTTTATGTTTTGCAGATATTGTTTCCAGATTTTGAATTGTATTATTAAGAGTAGTAAGAGTGCCATGAAAATTCACTTTTTAAACAATTTGAAATTATGATGACCACTTAACTTATGATGTATGTACATTATCTATCTTACATGTCTAAGATTATTCCAAAAAGAACATACCATGCACATAATTGTAATAATTAACTGAATGGTTTGCCAAAAGACCATATGTTTGATAATTTCATGTAATAAATCTGATTACTCATTAATAACATCAAATTTTTAATAAGTCGTCATGGATTTTTGAAACTGTATGAAATCATATTTAGGGTGAACATGTTTGCATTCATTTCCAGAAAGACAGACAAAACCTCATTTGATGGATGTGAGGCCATGCAAGATGTAACTACAATGTGTCCAGGACTGAAATACCCAGAAAAGATAAGGTCAAGAAAAATCTGAAAGTATTTAACTACAACATGTCAGGTACCAGCATATACCATATTTAATTTCATTCTGTAATATATAATTACTGGGTAGGTTGATTTATTTGAAATACAAATGATACAAATGATATTTTCCACCAATCCTTTTTGTTTCTTTTGTACAAGGGATTAGCAAGTGCTCTAATTATGCAAAATTCAAAAGTGTTTTACAAAGAGATTCAAGATGGCTGCACGAGGGGTATGAAAGGGTGCACACGCGTTTTATCTTCATTCTTATTTAAGAATTCAGACACACAACAAGGAAAATACACTAGCGGAAGTTTTAATTACAATGGATTGATGGATTTACCGATGAAGACGAGTTGCTGAATTTTGCAGCAACATGGGGTATTCAGGATTTTCCTTGTGTGCGATTTTGTTTATTTCAACTTAGATATTGCGAATACGGATACCTTAAACTACTCTTCTTCCTTTTACACACTAAACTATAAAATAAGAAAAAAAGGTGAAAAAACATGCAAAAGATAATGCTGATGAAAATTGACGAAAATTATCAAGGACAGAATATGTTAGAAATAAAAAAAGGGCTTCACAATATATTCAACGAAGTGTTACAAGAAGCCCGGGGTAATTTGGCGGAGAATGATTTTTGGCCTCGTTGTTATACACAATCAAG